TAAGAAACAATACATTGTTCCATATATAAGGAGTGGCCCTTCCCCGGTCGAGCCGACCCATTCGTGCTACAACCATGATATAGCTGCAGCATGGTTCTACCTCGTACAATGTTCACGTGAAATGTTTTTGTAATATAATGTAGCAACAGAGTGACCCACGAGAAGGGCAGCAAAATTTTCTTGATAGCAACGAGCGGCATGAAGTAAAAATTGCCCCTGTTAGCTTTAGTGTTCTTGATTTTGACGTTAGTCATATAACGGTGACACATCATGGCAGGGAACTTGTACCATATCCGTGGGAACTTGGGATTACATTTACAAGAATAACTGACAAATTACATTTACACACCAAGACCGGCTAAAGGATCTTAGAGCTTATAAACAATCTCTATAAATAAAAATCTATTGTTGTCCGTTAGTCTCGCTAAAACTCGAACAATTCTGATGAAATGTTTTGTGTGTTCTCGTGGATGGTTTGAGTGAGTTCGTGGATGGTTTCGATTCACAATTGGACCAGGTAAGCGGAGCCGTTGTCGAGATCCAGAAATCACTCGTGCGAGGCCGGGGCGGATCGCTAGTAATGAACATACTCGTGATATCAATTATACGTTGTAAATAACGTCATTTGACGGTTAATTTTTTCACTTCAATCATAATTTATTTCGAGGATTTTTCATTTGTCAAGTATGATAATTTCCATAACAGCCTATAAAAGTCCACTGCTGAACGTAGGCCTCTCCCATAGATTGTCTCATACGGGCAATTTTGCCATAGTTGCCACGCTTGGCAGGCGAATTACATCCGCAGTTTTTTATTATTTTTAAGTTGAACGTAGTTATACAAAAAAGTTCCAACTCACAAGTCATTCAAAAATGAATTAAATATACAGATCTACTTATTTTGACATCTTCATATTATGACGTAGTTATACAAAAACGATAAAAAAAATACAAGCGATCCGCCTCGGCTCCAGACGAGTGATTTCTTGATTTTGACATCAGCGCTACCTACCGAGTCTAATTGTGAATCTAAATCGCCCATACACACACAAAAAAATCTTTAAAATCGATCCAGCCATTTAGGTGGAGTTCAGGACAAACACACGTACAAAATAATTATATATAGTGTAAAGATTATGTATGGACGGAACGTAGGGAATACCCGTTGACTGCATAGAGCATATGGTCAGCGGGCATTCCCTTGATTACATTATCCATTTTCACAAGTATGGAAAACATTAAGAAATGATAACGAAATCTATTAATAATTTTACGTGGTAGAGCCATGCTACAGATATGGTTGTAGCACGAATGGGTCGGTGCGACCGGGAAAGAACCACACTCAACAGAATACCAGCGTAAAATAGCACTTTAATGTTGCATGTTTCGTATTAGAGTGTAGAGAACCGGAGACCCCAATTACTGAAAACGAGACGTTCCATTATACTCAGGGAGTGTTCCTGAGTAGACAACGCTTATGCATTTTGATTCTTAATCGAGGATAGTTCTAGATGTCTATTCGCCACAGCATCCACTTACCATCAGGTGTAGTGTGTGCTCGTTTGTCATCTTATTCTATAAAAATGTTAGTAATTAAAACCTAATAGAAAATAATAAGTTAATGTTTACTTACAATTTTTTTAATTTTTTTATTCCGTGTGTGCTCCTAAGTTTCCGATTATAAAATAATAACAATTTATAAGATTTGTTTTACTAATGGTAACTGTTTATGCAGACGTCTCATAAACCGATATTAAATAAAAATTGAATTATGTAGTGATAAAAATACAAAAACTAGAGGATTTTTGAACAGATATTTAAAGTTACAATTACCAATCCACTTTGCTATGGCATTGAAATTTCAACACGCTTAAGTATAGATATTACTAATGCTGAACAATTATTATGTTAATAATTATTGTTTGGCATTAACTACTAAGTAATAAGTTTTTTAACAATTGTTACAAATAATACATTTTAAAAAGATTTTTCCTTTTATGGTAAAATTAAATCCCTTTTAATAACTAATAATAAGTAATTTTAAATTGTTAAATAAAATTAAATGCTCATATACGACATTAAAATAATAAAATCAGTAAAATAATTTATATTACGGCATCAAAAAGAAGGAGGTTTGTCTGTTTAAAAGTAAATTTTCTTTCGAATCGAAAACTTTTAAATTTCTTTGTTGTTTTCAACTTCTTTGTTTATGAACCGATTTTGATAATTATTATTTTTTATTGAATATGTACAATATGATTGTAAAAACTATAATAAAAAATAACAAAAATTAGTAACTTAATTATCATACAGTCCTATTCCCGCGGTATCGTGCCAACAACGCTGGCTGCGTTTCCCCGCTGAATGGCTATACTTAGCCTTTAAGCGAGAAAAGAACCAGCCCTCTTATCACCAGCAGCAACGAACAGCCGCGGTTGGAGTTCCTTTAGGAACTTCACCGCACGTGGACCCCACGGACCGATAGTCTCTACAGCAAATGGCACAAATATGTAGTCATCTCTCAGAGACTCATATTTGCGCCACTTCTTAGTTCAGCTGCCTCTGACGCCGCCTCGGCTCTAAACGAGGTACCCCTGAGATGAGAGGCCGCCAGAGTGTCTACGCAAGTAGCATCCCACACTAGGGCTTTACCTTTCTCCCAAGGGACCAATGTCATACCGCATTGAATAGGTTTTAGTTCAGGGCCCACCATATAAATTTGATGAAAAACTCCATCCCTAAGAGTGAAAAAACAGAAAATGAAGATTTTATACCTCTAACTATTTAGTGGACATTCTTGCTGTTAGTTATCTTGTACATGTGTTAATCCTTAGACCACTGAAAAGGGTAAAAAAGAGCTTTAAAAAACCGACTTCAAAAATTAAAAAGGTTAATTTTTTTTTTATTAGAGCACAAGCTAAAATGCTTGTGGGATAGGGAATGGAAAATGGTAATATTATATGTTTTCTTTTTAGTTTTTATGTCGGTTTTTGTTTACTGTAATTTATTTCATTAATTTTAGAAAAATATTACCATTTACTTATTTTTATCTAAAACCATTTGCATTTTCTGCATTTATCTATACAAATAAATAAAATTAAGTGTCTGTTTGTAATGTCAAAATCACAGCTTTTTACTAAATGCATATGAAAGTATATACGGTACTAATAACAAAAATGCAATTTTTAAAGTTTTTGTCTTTCTGTCTGTCTGTCCGTCTGTCTGACCGTCTGTCTGTTTGTTTCGGCTAATCTCCGAAACGGCTTGACCGATTTTAACGGGATTTTCACTGGCGTATAGCTGATGTTACAAGGAGTAACTTAAGCTACTTTTATTTTAGAATAATAATTAGGATTCCGCGCAAAAAATTAAAACCCCAAATAACACGCGGGCGAAGTCGCGGGGAACAGCTAGTTTTAAATAAAATTATAATGCCAAAATTGAATACGTATGTCAATTTATGTTTCGTTTTACTTAGAATCATGTTAGCATAAGGACTAAGCGTTTCCTGTAAATTCCACAGTATGCAACGCAAGTAAGCAACCTGGTACAATCCCCGCCGGCACCACGAGCTCGGCGAACTACTAAAGCTACAGGTTGCATATTGTTTTTCATATATATATATATATATATATATATATATATATATATATATATATGTGTGTGTGTGTGTTTGCATATTATGTGTATACATATATTTTAAATCGTAACTTCATTCTTAAAATATATGTTTAACTATACGCTAAAACAGGATTATATACCCTTTATTTAAATATTTTAAATAAAGATTTAAATAAAGGCTTATAAATTAGTATACAAGTGGTAAAATTAAAAATTTTGTACAACTGACTTCAATATAAATAAAATGAGAACATCATCAATGTAGTCGAAGTCAATTAAATGCGCATTATTAAGTATAACTAAAAAAAAAACTAGTCGTCAGATCTTGATCAAATTTATATGGGACCACATAGGAAGCACTAGGGTTCAAATAAAAAAGAATCAACAAAATTGGTTCACCTAGAACAAAGTTCTGAGGTAAATACATAAAAAAAATACAGACAAATTTAGAACCTTCTCTTTTTTTAAGTCGGTTGAAAAATCCGTAAAGAAGCTATATATATATATATATATATATATATATATTATATATATATATATATATATATATATATATACATAATATGTGCATACATATATTTTAAATCGTAACTTCATTCTTAAAATATATGTTTAACTATACGCTAAAACAGGGTTCACATTCAACAAAATACAGTTTGTAGTAAAAATGCACTGCACATTAAGCGTTAAGAATCTGGCAAAGACCAATAATCGTAGAAACTTTGTCTATTAGTATTAAAGGATTTAGTTAAAATCTATTGCCTTATTATATATTCAAAATCCAGAGTTAATCACAAAGGTTATCACGAAAGGGGTATAATGCGACTATTATTCAATACCAAAAGGTCTTTTGTCTTGCTTGCTGTGCTCTACGTCTTTTTGGTTTTTTTTTGTATCGCCAAGATCCATCGTCACCAACTTTGTTTTTAGATTGTTATGGAATGTTGTCGGGAAATATTTTAAGAAAGAGCTTGAAGCACTATTAGAAAATCAAAAAACTACGCCTTCGCGTCAAAAAGTCCCAACTGCGAGAGACCTTGTGAGACGAAGCGATAAGAAACTCACAAGTAGTAGGTATATTTATTTCTACCAACAGTTACAATTTAACCTTATAAAAAGGAGTTTTTAATTTCTTTAAAAAACTATAATTTTTACTAAGAAGTATACGTAACAAAAAATTATAGCTGTGTTGAAACAACACATACACACACGCACGCACGCAACCATGTTTGTAAATACACGCATAAAATTATAAACCGATTACAAAAACAATCTCAAACATTTTAAGACATTTTATCTCTCCGTTAAATAATCTTTGATTTTTCGCCCTTCCATGTCGAGAAATATTGCAATATATAGCTTGAAAGTTGCGAGGTCGCTATGTTAGTTGACATACAGTACGGAGGAGTCACGTCGCACCGACGCTCTATTAAATTAATTCTAAAGGTAAATTAAATATACATATAAGCAAGAGTCCAATAACTTGAATTAAATATTACAACCTTTTCTTAATTTAATTAGTTGTAAAAAATTTTTTTTGGTAAGTTTTTTTTTAGTATTTATGTACTATGTGAAAAATTTAAGTATTAATATTGAGTTTTTATACACTTGTTATCAATAATCATATCAAAATTTGAGTTGTTATGTCATTAGTTGTATGTAGTTCAAATTAAAATACAAAAGGCAAAATGCAACATTTGTCCCATTCCTATTTTTCAGTAGCATTGAAGCTACAACCACAAATGTTAATTATGCATTTCTTCTACAAGTATCGTATGTCTTAAAATTATACTATATACATTTTTCAAATTATATTGTAGTATTCAAACAACCAACAAACAAATGCATCTCATTATGCAACATTTCTTTTTTTTTTTGGTTTATTTGTTTTACATATTTCTACAATCACTCGCCAAATGTTTGCCGGTCTCGATCTCGATTGCATAATTTCGCGCTTGAGAACCTGTCTTACGCTTACAGCTTACAGCTTTGCATGATGTCAACTGAAATACAAGAAAGGACCACGACCCACTTTTAGTAAACATTTGTTTTTTTGACATAATTCGTGATCGTAAAAGTAACAATACGACACCAACTTTTTTTTAGATTAAATAACAGCTACGATGTTCATTTACACTATGGTGGCTGTGGCTGTAATAGCCTATGCTGAAGGCTACTCTGTGGGTGCTCCTGAAAGCGCTTGCAAAGATATGATTCCAAGGCATCCTGTACCGCCACAAAAATCAGCGGCACCCTACGTTATCACGACAAGTTCCACAGTAAGGAAGCAATGTTTTCACTTGTTTTAATGATAAATGATTTGTAGTTATTATTGTAAAAATGTTTAATGAAACAAAATATGTTAGTATTTAATTTAGTCTGACTGGTTTTTTTTTTTTCACCATTTTACTAAGTTCATTTTAAGATACATAATATGTATAGCAAGTACTCGTCATTATTAGGTGGTGAGAGCCGGAACCCCATTGGAGGTCACAATTTCTGGTGTGAAGCCGTCGGATAAAATGCGGGGTGTGCTTCTGCAAGCACGTAAAGGAGAGGATATTGTGGGGACCTTCACTGTCGATCCCAATGATAACTTCGCTCAACTGCTCAACTGTGGATCACCAGGCGTAAGTAAAATCTTAAACAAGTTTAATAATCCTATTATCTAATCTTATACTTATATAATATATATTATGTGTAGCGTGATTTAGAAGTTTACGTGCGTTAGGTACTGACTAAATGCAAATATAAACGATAATATTACCAAAGCAGTAGTAGCAAAGCTTCAATTGTTAATAAAATATTACTATTATGCACTACATAAAAAGTTATATTTATAAAATAAAAATTAACATAAAAGTTTAAATAACGTACGATGAGCAACGTTGTTCACCTTGTGATTTACTTAATACGCAAGATACCTTAAATTTGTTATAAGTTTTTGACCCTGACATTATTTTAAAGTAACTTCAAAAAGGAGGTTATCAATAAGCTGTATTTAAATTTTTAATTACTATAATATAATTATTATATTTTAATTAATAAATATAGATATTATTTTACTACTCCAGTTATTAAAAAAATCTTAACTTTAATATACATTTTTCTAAATAATTTTGAATCTTCATATTAGCTTACAAAAAAAAGAAAAAAAATTGCGTTTCAAAGTAAAATTTCAAAAACAGTGCATACTATATATGCTTTTCCCTCTGTTTCGTCCAAGTTTCAATTACCGATATTGGTTTACATGAAACGAGGACATTCAAAAGTTTTATAAACTCTTTCGCGTCGGAGCTTACTATTATCATTATTTGGACACAATGCCTTCGTATAATTAAAGCAAGAGACAATAAAAAATACTAAGAAATCTATTGTCGTAAAAGACCTTCACGTTCTGTTGGTTTTTGGATATGGACGTCGTTTGAATCTGTTGAAGATCGCATTTTTTATATTTGTCGAACGTGAAGCTGCTTTATGTAAAACTGGAATTGTAAACTTACCAATTAATATTATTTATTCTCTTTGTTATTAATTCGCGTATTTAAAATAATAGTAAAATTATTTTTCACATATTCACGTAATTAACTGCAACGCTACGGGAGTTAATATAAGACATTTTATGTTAAGTACAAGATATTATATCTTATCTTCATATATATTTCTATATATCTATATTATACTAGCTGTTCCCTGCGACTTCGCTCGCGTGTTAGGGTTTTTATATTTTTGCGCGGAACCCTAATTCTTTTTTTTAAATAAAAGTACTCCTTATGACATCAGCTATCTGCCAGTGAAAGTCCCGTTAAAATCGGTCCAGCCGTTTCGGAGATTAGACGGAACAAACAAACAGACAAAAATAAAAAAAAATTGTATTTTAGTTACAAGTACCGTATTTACTTTAATATGCATTTAGTAAAAAGCTGTAATTATGACATTACAAACAGACACTTCAATTTTATTTATTTGTATAGATTATATATTATATTATACTTAATAAAGATGTCCTGAGTGACTGAATCATCTATAAACGCACAGCTCAAAGCACTACTTGTAGAAATCTGCAATTTGGACAGTAGCTGCCGTTTATGACGTAACCATCCAACAAAAAATGATTTTTGTTAATTCTTGCCCTAAGGGGATGAAATAAGGTAACAGTTTCCATAAAACTTTTTATTTTATGTAGTGACTGACTAGAAATTTTACTGAAATAAAATAAAAGAATACGTAGTTGGCGATTATTAACAACCCCTTACGGGAATGCCAGAGGGTGTCCAAATTTGGTGGTGCAAATACTGTTAAATTAAATTTACTGTTAAATTAAATTAAACTTAATTTAACAGTATTTGCACCACACAATTAAGTTATATTTAATTTAACATTAACTTAATTTTCTTCGTAAGATTTCAAAAGAGGGTGCAAAGTTTGCATCAAAATACATATTGTAAATAAGATTCATAGCCCAAATCGCTGGACGTAGAAGCGTAGAAATTGGGACAATAGTTTCCTTTAATTACGTAGACATCCCCCAAGAAAGGATTTTGGAATATTCACCCCTAAGAGTGTGAAATAGGGTATAACAGTTTGTAACAATGTTTTTTATTTTACGGGGCGATTGACTTGAAACTTATTGACAGTACCCCGTAAATAAAATAAATTAACACTTATTTGCGATTCTTCAAAACGGCCCTTTACTGGGTTGGGGCAGAGGGTGTTTAAATTTGTATTGGAACTCGTGTTTCAGTATTTTTGACAATTCTTCCCGCAAATATAAATTAAGAATTCTTCTTTTAATTATCTTTCGATTAGAAACTAAGTAACACGTGTCTAAGGATTTTTGGATACTCCTCACCTAAGGGGGAAAATGATGGATGAAGCTTTTGGAAATTTACTAACATTTTTGATGCAGTTTTAATCAAATATATACTTTATTTTACACCAATACGCAGTAAAATAAAATAAATAAAACAGTCAGTAATACGCGGTCTACAACCTCATTACGCAAAGAATTGTTCACAGCGTATGGTTATGAAGGAGATGTACATAGATTATAGAATTAAATTAAAAAAAAAACGAGCGAGCCTTACAGTAGTCGCATATGATGTTTAATAACTGACATCTCACCTTGTTAATAAGCAACATTAACATTATATTCTGAAAAAAACCAATTTGCCTGAGTAGATCGGACCAAAAGTAATTATTAAAAAGCTAAAGGTAATGCGGGTTAACCTTGACATCGGGACGTCAATCAACTCAGTCCCCCGACCATGGGTGCTGCAAAGACGTCGGGAATTAAAAATACGTTAAATTAAACGCGATAAAATCCGTAAAAGTAGTTTTATTCAATGTGTGGTGTTCGCGTAAATATCATTTCACATTTTTATACACTTGCATTTTTTATCAATGATCTGCACTTTTGTAAGACACTTATTATCAACAGTAAATACACATATAGTTTACACATATAAATTAGTTTATATAACAGCACACTTTACTACCATCGCGCGCGCTCATTGGTCAAATCAAATAGCGCGCGTTTCCCTGGCTTCCTGTTACACACTTCCGTTCTTTTTCATGAAATCACTCACACAGAGAAAGCGAGAGGAAAGATGTTGCACATCAAAAACTGGACTGGACCGATTTTGATGTAATTATTTGTTTCAAGCATTTGTAAATTTGTCCCTAAAATATTGATATCTTACGTTTTGAATGGAACCTTAGGAAGAATTTTGTTTTAATTATTTCTAAGGTAGGGTAAGGTAAGGGACATCGTAAAACCAGCCAATTTTGTGTAAACACTGGAATTTCAAATTAAGGGACAAAAATTTTTCCCAACAACATTTAATTTACCTTACAATTAGTCCCATCATATCAGTTTTTCTAGCTTATCCATGGATACCTTTTATGGCATGGCACTCACGGGTCGAACCAGGTAATCACTAATTCTATGCAGGTATTAGATTCTCTTACGTCGCCATCACAGGGAATTTATTTACAATTGGAATATACTGTGAATAGAGTCCATTAGTAATTGTAAATATTACTAGATAATGACAACAAATAATATCAAACACATTTTGTTAGAATGCCGCAAGCATGCAACATATAGGGACTGTGCGATATAATCGAATGAAGTTTTAATATTTATATTAGGAATATAAAGACAAAGATCCTAATACTAATAATTATATTTAGTCAAATTATTAATTGTATTTGTCCAAATATAAATTATTGTATCATGTGTTTTTTCTTATTTTACTGGATTGGAGCATTGTTGTTCATTTCTATGCTAACTACTGAAATGTGTTAATTTAAATTTTTATCTTTTTAGTTCTTTCAAGTCGGCTTGTACTCTTTTTTAAATTTTGATTTCTGTTCAAAAAACAGAAAAGCAAAAAAAAAGAATCGAAATGAGACCCCCTATTTCGAAGACTGCTAAAAATAAAAATAATATTTATAAGTTAGTATAATTTAATAATAATATGTATATTATTTTGCTAAATTACTTATGTTTATGGCCATTTTTAATAAAAAAATTCTAAAATATCTACTGTGGTAAAATTAAAAAAATTGTACAACCGACTTCAAGATAAATTATTAAGGATAACTCAAAAACCACTGGTCAGACCTTGATCAAATTTAAAATAAAAAAAGAATCCTCGAAATCTGTTCACCGAGAAAAAATGATGAGGTAACACACATAAAAAAAACATACAGTCGAATTGAGTACCTTTTTGAAGTCGTTTGAAAAATACGACGTGTCGATGTCACGGTCAACTGTGATTTTTAATGCTATTAAAACTCAATATAAATAAAACCAATGGAACTTTTGAAGCTTGTGCAAGGCCTTGGTTACGTAAAAGGGAGAGGACATAATAAAATGATTTTTAAGACAAATTAGAAAGAAACAATCTGTGGCAACAAAGACGCATTGAGCTTCGTCTAAATTGTTTTGCAATATTTTGTAGTAGGCAGCTCCAACTAAATACTATCATTAATCATTCAAATAGAGGCATATTATTTAATGTAACCTCTTGTACCGAACTATAAAATAGACGAACAGCCTTGAGTGTTGTAATTGGCAACAAGAAGGAATGCAATGCAAATCTAACACATACCTATCACGCATACTAAATAAGTTATTTTATTATCATAAATATTTAACATAATTTACAATCCGCAATTAAAGAAATTATTGGATTTTAAAATATTTTGTCAAAATATTTATAACAACGTTAAACAGGCACAATCGAAATTAAATGGTAACATTAATTCTAACAAAATTGCCACTTATGGCATCATTATCATCATCATTACAGCCCTCCCCAAGTCTACTGCTAAACATAGGCCTACTCCAAGGAATGCCATGTCATATCCCTCTCCATATTTCTCTCATAGTTTGCTGAGCGACTTTAAACCTTATCATACGGTCAGCTGTAAAATACTACGTCTCAGATCCATATGTTAGCAACACGCACTGGTGGTGCCCTCTTATTTTAAAGTTTTGAGGAATATAGAAGACAATATTTCACACGAGTTGGATCCGGCAATAGAATTCATGCTCGAAGTTAGAATCACCTAGTCGGACAATTTGTCGTAGGTCAACATACTCATCAATAACATCGAGCGTTTTGTTCTCAAGTTGAAAGACATTATTGAGGTCATTAAGCAAAAGGCTAAAGTCTAAAGGCAAATCGAAGGTGAGTAATGTACTCGCCTCTGATATTGATACCATATCCTTTCCAGTCCTGTAGCTTTAAAACGTCTTCCAGTGCAGTGGTAAAGAATTTCGAGGATTTAAAGTCACCCTGTCTTACACCCCTCTGCGGTTGGATAAGATTCTTAATAGATTGTTAGATAGAGTAATCTATTACTGTACACCGATAGCCTACTAGCTTTACTGTACAAACATTTCGATACACAAACAGATAATATGGGATTGTAGCACCGCCCAATTTTCGAAATAATAATATAATAAAAGGTTTTTTTTGTTTATTTATTTTTATAGAATAATGGTGACAAACGAGCTCACAGTCCATCTAATGATAAGTGGATGCTGTGGTCCATAGACATCTACATCTATCCTAGATTAAGAATTAAAATACAGATGCGTTGTTACCTCTGAGGACTAAGATGGAATGCCTCATTTCTGGTAATAAGGGTTTTCGGTTCTCTACATTCAGCATACGAAACACAGCTGCTATTTTACGCTGGTATTATGAGGTCCAACCCTAGTCGAGTCAATCCTTTCGTGTTACAACCATAATATCGAATTTATAATTCCAGACTTCACAGATTATTCAGATTTAAAAAAATGCCATTTTTCGCCTTAATATTGGGTACTTACTTTGTTATTTTTTAATTAGATGTATCCTTAACCCTTTCGCTGTCCCGTGCACTACATATAGGTCACTGCTATTGTCTTACTATTGTGTCTGGAAACCGGACAGTGAAAGTGTTAATAAAAACATTCGGATTTATTTTCCTTATATTTGTTAATTGACATTTTAAACTCGATTGCTAGTCATTATCTAGATTTATATATTTTTTATACGGACCCACAATTAAACTAATTGGTGATGCCTGATCTAGGGTACATAACAAGCGTAGCATTATAAGACTATTAAACCAGTTCATATCTCATTAGCGAGATGATTAAAAGTTTATTATACCAAGGTATTAGGAAACTATAGGAGATTTAAAAGTTATGATTAACTTTTGGTTTATTCTTTTTTTAGAATGCTATTACTCACAAGAAGCATGATCCCCAGTTCGATAAGCAATCTGCCACATTCATCTGGACTCCATCTGAAAACTTAAGTGGAGAAGTTAAATTTAGGTAAAGTATAACTTGACTAAAAACCTTACATTTAGTCCCATATCACCGAAAGTTTTTAGAGTAAAAATTCATTAGGTAAGTACCTACACTATGGTGTCGTATAATTCGATAATGGGGTAATACGCCAAGAAAATCTTATGGCTTCTGAAAATCCGAAATATGGCATTACCACAGAGTAAAAGAGTACTCATATTATGGCAGTACTATTTGGATAAAACACCTAATTTTAAAGTGTTTATAAAATTTCCGTGCCCCGAAAGTACCTACATAAATGAACCGTTTTTTTTTCTGCTAGGATTGTATCTAACAATAACAAAATAGATACTGGGTTCTATTTACATGAATATACCTAACATATGTTGAGACACAATAAAATACCTAAAATTAATTTTATTCAATATCAGAATACATTAAGCAAAATTCATGTCATTGTAAATGATTTACTGAGATTCTTTTTCAAAGTAGGTACCGACCTTGATAGCATCTTATTTGTAATATAATATAAACTAATTTTTTGTTTTTTATCTCCCAATTATTTTGGTATTCTACATCGCGGGTTGTGTATTTTGGAGGTTATTTCAAGTAGTTTTATCATTTAAAAGATCAAGATTTTTATCATTAATTTATGCCATGTAGGTAGTAGCAATAGCGCATTAAAGTTTTAATTGTAGCGCACTTGTATATTATCTTGAATAAAATATTTTAGGTAGGTACTAAATTGTTCCATGAAACAAATTATTTGTTCGTTTGCAATAGGTACTATCTATAAATTTAGTTAAATAGGTATCCAAGAAACAAATACCTAGTAGTAGTAGGTAGGTACACTCGACAAAACTATTAAGAATTTACAAAACTATTTTATATGTCGATTTTGTTGCGTTGTGATAGATTCTGATCAAATCATGAAACAGAAGAAAGTTATTAGACAGATAGTGAATGACAACATAAAGATATATTCTATAATAACCATTGAGTTATATGTACTACGTACTAGAGAAGCCATTCCGAACCTTGACTATGTTCAACTGAACTGTAGTGCAATCCATACAAACTAAATATTGCGTAAAGTGAAGATTTGTAATTTCCATAAAATAATTATTATTACATTTCATTTAGAAATATGTTTGTTTAGATTAAATTAAGATATTTTATATTAAATTCTTATATTTATTTTATATTAAATTAAAGTCTTCGCGCATGCGCGACTACTACTCCCGCGCATGCGCGAAGACATAGAGTAGGACACTATTTGTTTGGAATGGCTTCTCTAGTACGTAGTACATATAACTCAATGATAATAACAAACCAAGTCTGTGATCAAACACTAAAGTATTATGAGATGCGTGCACACAGAATACTAAAATGTATTATTATATGATATGCATATATTATTTTACTTTTTGAAAATAATGTGTGATATTTAACAATTTCAGAGCAACCATCGCACTCAACGGAGCTATCTTCTGGGTGGGAGTTGAGTCTGCTCCCGTCACAATCACTCATTAACTTGCCTATATGTAAATTTAATTACTAAATTAATTTGTAAAGGTTTTACCATAAGTAAAAATTATATTTTTTTTTTTTGTATGAAATCATTATTTTTTTGTACATACCATGTTTCCTTAGTAAACTTTATCTTTACCACAGAATAAATCTTTACATTATATATGAACATGAAAAAATATATATATATATATTGTTCTCCAAAATAATGGAATCCATTATAAACTGCCAGCTCATGAGGTACCTTGAGGATCACCAGCTGATTAGTGACCGCCAGTACGGTTTTCGTCGAGGTCGATCAGCTGGTGTCTTCTAGTCTATCTGACTCATAGATGGGCGGAGGCAGTAGAGTCCAAGAGGGGGGCATTGGCCGTTAGTTTGGACATAGCGAAGGCCTTCGAACGGGTCTGGCACAAAGCGCTTCTTTCGAAGCTTCCTTCCTATGGGCTTCCCGAGAAATTGTGCAAATGGATCACCAGTTTCCTTGCTGATCGGAGCATCAAGGTCGTAGTAGACGGTGCATGCTGATTCAAGCCTATCATCTCTGGTGATCCACAAGGCTGCGTGCTATCACCAACGCTGTTTCTCCTGCATATCAATGATATGTTGCTAACTGGCAGCATTCATTGCTATGCAGACGACAGCACTGGTTTTGCCTTATATACCGGCCATGCCAATATTTCTCGGGAAAACGTCGCTGAGTACCGGGACAAACGTGTGTCTGAAGTCGAGTATTTGCTTAACAAAGTCTCGGATTGGGGCCGACTAAATCTAGTCCAGTTCAATCCCCAGAAGACACAAGTTTGCGCGTTTACTGCTAAAAAGAACCCCTTTGTCGTATCTCCTCAGTTTCAAGGCACTCCCCTTGCTGCCTCAGCTAGTATCGGAATCCTTGGCGTCGACATAGTGAATAGTGTGCAGTTTCGTGGTCACTTGGAAGGGAAGGCCAAATTGGCCTCTAAAAAGCTTGGCGTGCTCAGCAGAGCGAGACAGTATTTCATGCCGGCACATCGCTTGCAACTTTATAAAGCGCAAGTTCGGCCCCACATTGTTCTCATCTCTGGGCCGGGGCGCCCCAGTGCCAGCTCCTTCCACTTGACCGCATCCAGCGCAGAGCGGTTCGAATCTTCGACGACCAAGTTCTTTCTGATCGGCTCGATACACTGGCACTGCGTAGAGATGTTGCATCTCTTTGCGTATTTTATCGCATCTATCACGGGGAGTGCTCTGAGGAATTGTTCGGACTAATTCCAGCCGCTCAATTTCACCATCGCACATCGCGACAAAACTCGCGTTACCATCAATACCATCTGGATGATTGGCGGTCCACCACTGTGCGATTTAGAAGAAGTTTTCTCCCTCCCACAACTTCCTTGTGGAATCAATTACCACCAGCGAATTTTCCGGACCGATACGTCTTAGGAACCTTCAAGAAAAGAGCTTACACCTTTCTAAAAGGCCGGCAACGCATCTGCAATTCCCCTAGTGTTGCGGTTGTTCATGGGCGGCGGTAGTCACTTACCATCAGGTGAGCCGCATGCTCGTTTGCCCCCTCTTCTATAAAAAAAAATCCTAAACATCTTACAATGGTATAATTATTTTACCGTGTAGTGGCAGCGTAATGAAATCCGTCACTCTTTTCGTCCCGTAGTTATCCTATTTTTTTTTCTTTTTTAAAATACGTTACCCCCACACTAGGATTTTCTCCTGTGTCGTGAAGGCAGTTTACAAACATAAATTGCACAAGGACAAACATCCAGATCCGGAACAATTATTTGTAGGCCATACAAATATTTGTTCCGTGCGAGATTCGAACCCGCGGCCCCCAGCGCAACAACTGATTGCTAAGCCACTGCGCCACGGAGCCGTCAAATCCTATCCAATATCCTATGAAGCAACTGTGCGAAATTCAAGAAAAATCAACACGTTTACATCATACAGATCCAAATCGACAAAGAAATGCAACTTCAAATGTACGAAATGTTTTGAACGTATATTTGTACTGTGATCGCAAATCCGACCTGTAAAGCAAATATCACTCCGTCCAGACGGGCAACCGGCAATGAATTTTGTGCAGTGAACAAGTGCAATGCACATGTTGTTCGTTGTAAATTATTTAATAAGCATATGTGTACGTGAGCGCGTGTTCTTACAATAAGTTGAGCATGTTCTTGGCTTCATTTTTGCGTCACTTGAACGCATGGAACGCTCTGTCCGTCTTTCTTTGTTGGTCTGAGATTATAGAAGTATTAGCTGACAATGGAACCGCCGAAACTTTTCTAACAAAATCCGATGCATGTAAAATAAAAAAAAATGACGGCTATGTAGCACAGTAGCGTAGCAATGTAAAATGTTTGTCATTGTGCAATTTATGTGTGTAAATTGCCCCCATAAGGGTCGGTTCGACCGCGGTAGGACCTCGCACAGAAAACCAGCGTGAAATAGAAGCATAATGGTGATTGGCGAAATCCGAATACCCTCTTTATTGGTAACGAGGCATTCATTCCGATCTTAGTCTTCAGGTGTTACAACGCATCTGACGCATCGAATTACGAGATATGTGTTCCTCAATACAATGCAATGACGTAGCATGAGGGGCGAGCTGGGAGGGGAAACTACGAGGTATTCCTGTCTTAAGCAAACTAAACTTCACTAGCAGCTAGTAGTTTGTCTAAGCTGCCGCTTAATTTATTTCTCTATGAGTTTATAGAATTTATTTATTGTACTGGGTTTCCGTTTGAATTGTAAGCGCGTATCATTACAGACTTCACCTTAGTCGTCTGGAGCGACATTTGTGGACTTCTTTGTAAGATGTTGGTAGCAGGTGTCCAAGGGAATGTTACTTCTCCAAAAATGTTTTTCCATCAATATGTTAATTTATAGTCCTAAGAGCACCACCAAACCAACCATCCTATCCTATCCATGGATGGTAAATAGTGATGTAAACGAATATGGTTTAGCGAGACAAAAGCCTGTTCACTTTTGCCTCAGACATCCAGATTATGATCGGCAGGAAAACAGGCGCTTAAATTATGTTTAACATTCGTTATGAATGCCGATGACATGATGATGCTGCTCCAGTTACGAGTAATTTCTCAGTAGTTGGAAGTATGTGAAATGATAGAGGAAATATAATTTTAATTTTACTTTATTTGAAATGTAGCACCTAGAAAATTTATTTCTGAGATCTTCTCATAAAAATCACCTCAAAAAAGAATGGATAGTTTAGGAACCGACACTTATGTACATTACTACACGTACATAATATTTAAAATTTTAATCAAGCCAATATGTTATTTTCAATCGTGTCCAAAATAAAATTTAAACATATATTTAGTTCTAATATATAAAACAATTATGTTTCATTTAATTACATAAATAAAACTATTGGCAGTTATCGAAACTATCCATTTTAAGACGGAATGAACTAAGTCTATCAACATTGACTTACATCTTACTCCATAAACCTATATATTGCGGCATGATAGAATACATTCATCCTACAGATTACAAAATACTTATAATAAATGTGTAATTAAAGTTATATGAATTTAAATTAATTACAAAGCAAATATCAGTCCTTCGGGATCCAAAGAATCAGTCGTTCGGGTGAACATTTATAAAAATCTACCATATAATTTATATACAAAGTCTTCACAAGAAAATGATGTAATGGTATGGAAGTTGAAGTGATATAATATTACCTATTTAATATGAGCATTATCAATTAATTAAATACTGTATAAATGTATAGAAACCCCTAATTTGTAATATAGTACAATTCCTTCATTATAGTCGTCAAAAAAGATATTGTTTACTCTACGCATTGCAGTGTAATAAAATGTAGTGTGTGATATATGGGCGCTTCCATGGTGCACTGTTTTTGCTTACATTTAAGATAAACAAAGAATTTTAATGTACCTAAATAATGTAAAAATGAGTCAAAGATACAGATATTTATATACCAAATATTTATTTTGAGATCTTTTGTCGCGATGAAACTGTACGGTGCTGAAAAAAGTGCACCACAAACTAAACAAAAAAATCAAAAACTAACTTTAGCAACTATTTAATTTTTATAATTACTAGTGATAATATTCATGATAATTTTAACTGCTCACTTTTTCCTATATGACTGATACAATATTGTGATTATCTTTTCGGGCATTTATTTATTTACCTAACATTTATTTCCTACAGGTTTGTTAGTTTATTTTTAAGATTGGAACTCTGCAAAATGTTTGTATAGGTTTCATAACCAGATCTCAACCTACTTTTGTTTCAAGTTACCCCTATTATACGATTAAATTCGAGAAAGGTGCAATTACAAAGGCAATCACATCCAGAATGTAACCCTAAATTAGAAACTTGTTCTTGCACAAATACAAATACTTCGTATAGCGTGATCGCGGAGTAGGAAGAATTTCAAATTGTTGCAATCCATACAAATGTGAACTTTAATAACTTGCGAATGAACTCGGTTTTCGAATCACAAATACTATTCAAAAGGTCCTAAAACTATCTTAGTTGCAATAGAAATAAAACTTTTTAGGATGGGAATTATTTAAAAATGCAAAGTAATAAAAAAATTCCTGCTCCGCGACCGTGCTTTAGTGAAACACTGAGCGTTAATAGGCCGATATATTTCCAATAAAATATATACATAATAGGTATAGTATGTATATATTTTTATATCATAAAGTGTAGGAATATTTTTAATACACAACATTACAGTTGTGCAATATGGGCTATAAAATATAGCGATAGTGTACCTATTATATCGGAGACCGATAGTTTAATCAGAAAGTTATATGATGACAGATGGTTAGACCATTAGTTAAAACTAGTTGTTTCAACTGAACACCTATCATTTTATTCGAATTACAATGACATTTGGGCGGGCGAAAGCCATAAAAATAATGAAATAAACCAACAAAGATTATGGCAAAATCAAGATCTATAAAAATGATCAAAATTTAATTTCTTTTTTGATACAGTAGCGCTTAACGCTCACAGTTACTTCACACGATGGCGTGATTTTACGCAGCCTGGGCCACTGCCCAGAAAAAACGGATTTGCCAACCAATATTGGTGTTTAAACTACTGGCTAACCACACACATCAGCAATTGCCCAGAATATCTGGTGTCCAGAACAACTGCTGTAGTATGAAGTGTGTGTTCATCCAAGTATTACCACCATAATAATCTGAGTCTTAATTTAAGCAGTTAGCTTTAGATGGGCTATAAAAAAAATTCTTCTTAGTATGCATTTTTAAATAATGTTATCGTATACCCAATTTGCGGAAACGTACTGTATTGAGATCAAATGTAGCATTATTATTTTCCAATTGAAAAAATACACCTTTTTTTGATGTTAATTCAAAGTAAAACTAGTAGTAGTATAAAATAAGTACTCTATATGCAAAGATGAAACTCTAGAAACACATTTGACAACTAAGATATGTTGTACCTTCATTGCTTCTTATTTCCTTGGTACTCCAAAAATTCTCAATTGTTTTAGGATATCATCCAGAATAACGCATAACTGACGAATGTTTGGTTGAAATTATGTTGCGAAATGGATTAAATGAATTATAATACAGCTTATACTGACTATAATTTAAATTTGAAACAATAGAAAATTTTCTCATTCCTTCTTATAAGATAAATGTTTAATATACTTCATTGTCATCATTTAATGAGTATGATTTTCCTTTACTCTCAATATAATTCGAATTTGATATCGTTTTCAGGAGTACGAATTATGTTCGCTTAGAATCAAATTTGATTTATTCAAAACTTTAATCTGGTGGGAGTGGGCCAGATGTTTCATTTACACTTGATAACTGTTTTGTAAAAAAAAAAATGTCGATTAAAATAGGTTCAACAACTGCAATCTACAAGTCTTAACAATTTACCTTTCACATAATATTTAATATGGCATTCAATGCATTATTATATTATGAACACATGTTATTATTTTTTAAAGAATAATGTTGCCAGAGGTCTCGCTTTAGGTGTTTTTAGCCTTAAATATATATCCTGTGCAGGACATCTGACATTCTGCTTTTAACACAGAAATGTACCAGTACGGACACCTTTTATTATAAAGAGAACTACAGTTAAATCCTGGGAAAATTTATAATAATGGTGGCTATATTTAATAATAGCAGATGTTTGACTTTACATTATTCTTTATTTTATATTTCTGATTGATAACTGTGTTTTTCCAATTGTGTTCCGCTTTTATCAAACAGGATACGTTTTTTTACTTTCCATACTTTCTAAAATTAATAATCCCACTTTGGTCAAAGAATAATTTGGCAACACTAAAATGCTAATTAGGTTTCCATGTGACCTTATCATATACATAAAAGTAAAGTTGCAAGTTACAGCTTATATATGTCTCACTGCAGAGGACAGGATTCTTCTAATTTCTAATAGGGTTTTAGGGCAAGGAAGTGTCCATCGAGCTAGCCCAACTAAATGTTGGCTGACTACATATCTTCGAATTTTTTATAAATTTCTCAGACATGCAGGTTTCCTCACGATGTTTGTTTCCTTCACCATGAGCATGTGGTAAATCTTTTTCTTTATCGTTCCGCAAAAGTCCAGGGCTGGGCATGCGTGTTCTCAGTTGTAGAGAGGATATGCCTTAATCTCACGCTTCGCAGGAGGACTGTGGTAAATCAGCACTTAAAATTGAAATTTACAGCGAGAGCTTAGTCCCGGAGCTATTATACAAGTTTTTTTTTATTAATATTCATTTTTTTCTAATGAGTGTTAAAAACATTTTCATTTTGCTAATACATTAAAAACGCATTTTTAACTTAAAATTTGTCCAAAAACACTTAAAACTTCATTCTTAATGTTTCACATTCATCAATCATCAAGATAATTAATACTGATTATACAAATACATATTATAAATTACCAACACATAGAATTAATTTTTGGCAAGCAAATTATTGATGACAAGACAATATGTAACTCTAAATAAAATAAAATAAAATGACATTAAGCACATACCAGCAAAAACCAATGAATTACAGGTAGTTATCATTTGGTCTAAATTAAATGCTTATAATCGATATTTAACTAATTAAACTTTAACATCACAGGTAAATCTGAATAAATAAATAAATAAATATGTAGAACAAATTATAAGTTCATAAGGTATCATTGGTTTTGTATGAAGTAATTTTGTCGTTTCAGTTGCCTGTATAAAGAAATATACTTTCCAGCAGCTGATGTTCTTGGAACAACATATTGTTTACAGAACAGCTTGGGGTCTTGAGCCTTCTCAGATAGTTCTCCACATTCAAGTGCTCGTAAGAATGCAAGCACAAAGGTAAAGCAGTTATGTCTTTCTTCATCATATCTGTCAGCTTCCCACAGTGGGCTAACACTAATCTGTAAAAATACAAATCTTAATATACCTATAACCTTCAATACTCTTTAAAAATAGTTTTAACAATAAATGTGCACAGCATCTAGACCAAAAACAATAAATTTGTTATAAATATTTAAAACAGAATTTATATTTTTTATAGAATAAGGGTGACAAACGAACACACAATCCACCTGATGGTAAGTGGATGCTGTGGCCCATGGGCTTCTACATTTATCCTCAATTAAGAATCAAAATGAAGATGAGTTGTCATCTTTGAAGACTAAGATGGAATGTCTAGTCTCACATAAAATGTGTCTCTGGTTCTCTACACACCATACAAAACATAGCAACATTAATTTGCTATTTTACATTTGTATTCTGTGCACTGTGCAGAGCTACCCCAGTCGTGCCGACCCATTTGTGCTACAACCATAATATAGCAGCTGCAGTGTGGCTCTATATAAAAACTATATTGTGTTTATTTAAATATTTATTAATGAATTATTTAAATAAACACTATGTGGAATGTACAGAACCTACAATCAATGTAGAGGGAGGTGGTACATAATAAGTAGTGTCCCCCTGCTGTGTAGGGAGGAGGGAGTATGGAACCCTGTAATTTTTTAAAACATTTTTTATAGTAAATGGGTGAACGGACGAGGAAGCAAAAGATTTGGTATGGAGGGTACTTATACGATGGGCGACTGTAACCCAACCTAGTGACGCTGATGTTATTTGAAAGATGCTTTCATACTTTTGACTAAGTTAAGAAAATTCATTGCTAATTAGTATTCAGACTACATCTAGTTGTAGTCGAAAGCATCCAGCTGCACCAACTTATAAATCGGAAACACCCAAGTTTAACCAAACACAATGGACTGACTATCTTGAAGCTGGCTAAACCAGACTTACTAATAATTGCACCTACTTAATTATACATTCCTTACAACATAATATATACTGACATGACACTGTCAGAATTCTATTAAGAGAAGCCATAATTTAAAAGAAGAAGAACATTAATATATAATTGATCTTTTTTGACATTGATTTTTTGATTTCTTTACATGGTCTACTTAGGGAATATCTAATAGCCCGTAGATTGTAAAAGTTCACATCAAAACACCAAAATGTTTTAAATCTAATGAATCATATATCTTAGGTTTAGTACAGTTGAGCCCCTGTGAGGTTGATATTTAGAAAACATGCTGGCATTCCCTTATTCCCTTTTACACACACTACCTAAATTGAACTAAAAGGCTAAATAAATAAATTACCTTTAAAAGTACACTATCCCATATTTCATTCCACAACTCATCAAATTGTTCCAGCATCAGACACTGATCCCAGTCCGAGCTTGTGTCAGAATTACTCCATTTCTTTGTTTCAGGATCAACACCTCGAATACCCTCCTCACTAAACTCAATAACATAACCATGAGAGTTAGTGACTCCTATGTGTAAATCCTTGGAATTGTAATAGTCACTGAAATGTAATAACGTTTATCTTTATCGAAAAAGGATATGACTCAGTCTGGAAACATATTGAATGCTTGTTTTGTGAAATATTTTTGCAATAGAGCAATATTAACTTACTTAAGGAAATCCCCATGTGTAGGTTTCATAACTATAGCTCTTGGATGTTGAGATGCTTTCACGAAAGGATATGGCACTCTAAAACAAAAATAGGCCACTTAGCAACAGACTTTCTAAATACATTAGTGGTACAATCCTATATATACGGTTTACCACTCTTACCTGAATGGTAGAAGCTTATAATCATATCTATCCAGGTTTTGTTGGCAAACTGGACATTGTTCCGGAATGATAGTACAAAAAACTTTGTGGTCACAATGGTGGAAACAAAGGATGCCCGGATCCATTTTACACTTAAAATATCACAGTATTTTCTATTAAACACCAATAAAAAAAATACTGAAATCAACGGCAGACTATTCTGTTACACTTTGGCGTAAAAATGTAAAAATATTCAGATTAAACAACTGAGGAAACGAGAAACTAATAAGAATTACAACATTACTATTGTTCTTGTCCTAAAAACAAGGCAGTGAGAAGTTAGAATCAGAAGGAGCACATATTTCAAAGACGTTCTAAGTAACGTTCATAACACTGTAACACATCTATGTATTTGTTTTATTTTAGTTGTCTTAATTTACATAACAATTAATTTCGTAATGCATTATATGATCAATCGTTTTTAAAGTAAAGGCAAGTTAATGATAAAAGCTATTTAATTTGTAAACTAAACAAATTAAATTATCACAAGACACAATTGAATGTTCTGAACGCTCTCCACAAGAAATCGAATTGACAAGAGTGATAACTGACAACTGCTGACTGACAAATGACAACTGCCAACATATGATTTTGAATTTTGATTTATCAATTTTGTTGGATAGTTGATAAACTTTTAAAATTATTGGCAAATATAAAAGTAAAAACAATATAATAATTACTGACTGATAATACTAATAATTGACAACGAACTTTTACGAATTCGTTGTGATAAATGACAAAACACATCCGATATGTGTTATTATTGATTATTACATTTATCTATGTATATTTAAATCATTGACATAAATATTACCTAAAATTTCTTGTAATATTATTTATTCTGTGCTACACTACTTGGAACTTAGGTGTAATCGATTCACTCATAGCTAAAACTAGGAAACCTGTCGCCAGCTCGCCATTAGGTGCGGCTGGGGTCCTCCCCCGGAACGGGTTCCTGCCTTGTCGTGGCGGGGGGGCTTAGTAGCCGTGGCTTGGTCACCCGCTGTGAACAAAGAGGAACCTCTTGGCTGGCCCGTGGTGTAGGGCCGGCCCGAGGTGGCCACTCCGAGTGGGATTGGCGAGCCCACTTCGGATGTGTGTCGGTGGGTTGCGGTGAGAGGGGTGTCCTCCCCCCTTGCTGCTGCAGCCGAGGTGGAGTCGCGGAGGAAGAGGAGTGTTGGTATGGCGATGCGCCACTCGCCCTATCCTCCGCGACTCAGACGGGGCCGCACCGTTGATGCGGTGGTGGTGGGGCCGCGGGGGTAGAGGAATGTCGGTACTGCGAGGCGCCGCTCTCCCTACCCTCCGCGGCCGAAACTTGGTTGGCGGCGGAGCCAGAGACCAGATCCGCCGCTGGGGTTGGGAAAGCGGGTGCTACTAAGCGCTCGATTTTCCTGGCCCCATGGCCTCCGCGTATCGGACTCGGGGGGGTCCGATACGCAGGTGGAGTTGGAGGCCGTGGAGGGGGGCGTACTTTGTGTTCCTGGTGCGTCTTGCCTGAGAAGGAGAATGGGGAGGAGAGGTCCTCCCCCGAGAAGGGGCTGCCATGGAGCGGCCGGTGCTGGTGGGGCCACGTATGTGTGCGAAAGCGTTCCCGTGGCCCTGCTAATATGCGGCGAATGTGGAACACCATGGGGTTTTAGTCATAACCCGTCCTTGCCCCCGCAAGGTGGGTATGCGTAGGCATTTCCCCATGAAAAAAAACGGTGCGGCTGGGGTGGCACTTGGGCCTAAGTTTAGCCGGCTAGTATTAATTTTTAATTTACCTACACACATAAACATTAGCTATAAGATACAGGTATATTAAATATTTAACATATTATATAATATTATTATATATTATATTATATTCGAGAGATTATTTTCGATTGTTTATCCTACTACCCCAGACAACCTTTATAGGTACTTTATACATGTATATTTGCGTTCATTTGTTTTTTGATTTGTTTGTAGATTTTTAAAGTGAAAGATTGTAACTATTAGGCTACTAGCTATAAGCCTAACGTATAACTTTGTTAGATAATAATGATAATAGATAATAGTTAGAATCTTTCAAATTAAGTCGACAATTACTAAAATATGACGGAGTAAATAATGCTATATCTAAATTAGTAAATTGGTTCAATGTTAATAATATGCATTTAAATGGAACTAAAACGAAATGTATGAAATTCATGACTCCAAATGTCAAACAATTAAATACTAATGTAATTTTAAATGGGGAGAAACTGAGTCTTGTAGATACCACCATTTTTCTTGGAATCACACTAGAAGTGAAGCTTCAATGGAGCCCCCATATATCAAAACTAGCAAGCAGACTTAGTTCTGCAGCATATGCTGTAAAAAAGATTAGAAGTCTAACCAGTATTAAAACAGCTAGACTAGTTTACTTTAGCTATTTACATAGCATAATGTCGTATGGTATTTTTCTATGGGGACACGCAGCTGACACTGAAATTATATTTGTTTTACAGAAGAGGGCCATAAGAGCAATTTATGATTTAAAGCCTAAAGAGTCGTTGCGATAAAAATTTAAGGAAATTAATATATTAACTTTGGTCTCTCAATACATTTATAAAATGTAATGTACGTACACAAAAATAAAAGTAGTTTTACAAAAACGAGTTGAATGTAAATTCAAGAAAAACAAGTTCCTTCTGCGTGAATCCCATATCTCTGGTGCCCTTTGACCTACAGGACCCAAATTCAAACTCTACCGAGCTACTACCTCAAGGTATCCACATACCAAATTTAAAGTCAATCGGTCCAGTGGAACGGAAGTTATCGTGTCGGCATACAGACTAACAGACTGCCAGCTAAAACCATTAACTTCCTTTCAATGCTACGCAGAAGGAAGTTAATAAGTGATATTCATTCTGTAAATACTAGGAACAGACACTAGCTAGTAGTACCAGTTACTCGACTCCATCGAGTCAGTAATTCATTCTTGGGGCGATGTATACGCTTTTACAACAAAATTCCAGAAAATATACAAAATTTGACCTGCTCAAAGTTCAAAAACTTTATCAAACTAAGTTTGTATAAAAAGGGTTATTATAATATTAAGGAATTTATGGATGATTATCCACTGGAAATGAGGTGATTGCTACCAAGCTATTTCTAATTTGTTGTGTTGTTAATTTGTGTAACATACATGATTGTAAGCTGTTATTTAAAAAAAAGTCCCGCTGGGTTTCTTGCTGGTTCTTTCCAGGACAGAGGTTTTTTTCCGAACCAGTGTAATGATTTTGTACCTACACATCACATCCACGCCATGCACACGTATCCAACTCGACTAAGCAACGTTCGGGAGATAACGACGTATCATCTTCTCGTGATGCATTGTCCAAAACCTGTATATAACCTATTATTTATTTTGTGGTATAACCAGTGGATGTTACAAATTATGATAATACATGGAACTAGGACCTATTCCTTAACTGCTGGATGTAGGTATGGAGAGGGCTATTCTCAACTAGGAGTTTTTCTGAGTGATAAAATCCGTAAATAATCCATTTGAGCTATCAGTAAGTGAAGTAGAAAAGAGCCGATCATATGATTCGAAGAACTATTAAGCGATGGCGCAGAAACTAGATGGAACGACAACACACGCATAGTCTTTGAATGGCTTAGGACTATGATTTGTGGCATTCCTTGAAGGAGGGATGTTCATCGTGAAAGACTGAATTGACAGATGATGAAACTTTCTTAAATATTGAAATCGGTGGAAGGAAATAGGTATATCTTGAATATTAATGTACCAACTATGTTATTATATTATGATAATTAATATAGTTACCGGGTACCTATTGTATTTTGACATGGTAAATAATAAGTAATAACTAAATACATGAACAAGAAAAAGGTCTTTCAAAGGTGAAAGCATTTTTTTTTCTGTTCTGCAGGTGAAAGTGGGTGAAAGGGTTCAATGAATTCTCAGGAAGTTAGAATTTGGTCAATAGTTATTATTAAAAGAGTGACAGCGAGTGTTGTATGTTTACGGGTTGCTATGACAACATTTGAATTGATAAAAATCGAGTTAACCACACCTCGGGCAAGATAGAATGAACCAAGAGTCCTAGTTTAACGTTCAAGCGAGTGTTGGGTATGTCGTGTGGTTGGTTTAAAAAGAAGATGATCTAAATAAAAATATGGAGCAGTTAAACTGTCGAATATAAGTCAAAATGTGATTATATTAATTAAATTATTCTTTAAACGAACAAATTAATTCTCAGTTAATAAAAGTAAAACTTTAATAATTTCGGTGCTTCGATTATAATCTAAACTAAACTCATAATGTCCGGGAGTAGTGAAAAGGATATTCGAGGTTTGTGGTGGATGCTTGTTACAATACCGGTTGTATCAGCCGGAATAGCTTGCTTAAGCAATCCTTGTCTTCATGGAATTTGTATTGATGACCTCAACAGGTAAATTTAGCAATTACGTTTTACTATAGATCACACAAGTAATTACACTGTCATTATTACAATATAATTACTTGTGTATAAAAAAAATTCCCTATTATTTTTTAACTATTATAAGCCAGTGCTTGACTGCTATCCCACATGATGGCGAGTGGTAAAGATGGTAAAGCGCACTGATGTGGTTAACAAAAGCCTATTCATGAATGCCTTGAACACACCTACATTTTAATCGGATGAAAAGACAGATGCTGGCAAATTATTCAACTCATTTGCTGTATGCATTATGAACAAAAAAGCAAACCCTTTAGTTTGAATCCGTAGTACGACAAAAGGTGGAGACCAACCGTTTCTGGTGGTCCTATGAGTATGAGTCATGCAAATCTGTGCTGGCTACTTTGCACCAGTCCTCGAGACTGGTAAGATTGGTATTAACCATATAGGTATCACCAATAAGCCCCTGAGCTGGTCTTTCCATTGATTCCAAAGCCGCTAGTTAGCATAGTGCAGCACCAGCCCATAAATAGCAGCAATACTCTACGACCAGACTTGTGCTTTATATATTGTAAACAACTGTCCCTGCGTAAAGTATCCCTCCTATTTCGGACTTCAGATAATCGCATGATATCCCAGTTTAACTTGTCTATCTCTTGTTTCAGCCCTAG